AGAAAAGTGAACAAATTTTTAATAGTACACATGTTAGATCAGTATAGAAACTTAAGTGTCATTCATACATGGGTGATGTGGCTGTCAGTATGTTAAATACTAGTTAATACTATTTTAAATAATATTCATTATTGATATTTTCAGGTAATTTTAATTGACCATAAAATTAATATACACTACCGTCCATAAGTATCCGGACACTTGGTTTCGTTACATAAAACATAGTTGAAATTTGTACGAAAGATATTTAGAGTTACCATATCATTTGTAATAATTATTATTATCTTTTATGTCTCGCTTAAAAGATAGCAACCTTATTTGTTTTTGTATAATACATTTTGTTAGAATTTAACAGTAAGGAAACAGAATTAATAGGAAAGAAAGAAAGTGTGAAAGTAAAATTCATGTCCAGAAGTACAAAGTCCAAATTTGTGAATCTAATGAAACGCTTTGGATTCCAAAAAAAATGTTAATTTCTACTGTGTTTCATTTCTATGGTGCAGAATGTATTCAGAGGGTTCTTCGATATGTTTCAAGTGTTTGTAAACTGTTGGTAGATGTTTAGGTTCCCTCAATGGAGATAAGAATGGAGGTAACGCTACGCACTCGACAGTTTCGGTTTAGTTCTTCTGTAGCTTCTTTTCCATCGTGCTATGAGTTCCAAACGAGAATTATCAATCGAAAAACGTTCCAGTATTCTGACCTTCGCAGAAAAAAAATCGATTTCAGTTACTGTTGCAGATACTTGAATAACTTTCATGCAACGCGAATGCATATTTCGCTTGTGTCCGGATACTTATGGACGGTAGTGTATGTCGAATCGGAAATAATATAGTAATTGTTGTAATAATATATTGTTCACATATAATGATATATGTATAAATAAACTCTAGAAGATTGATATAAGTCTGTATATATTTTATGTTAAGAGAATATTTTTATACGTGAAGTAACAGAAACTTGATTCTTTCTGTTATAAACGATTAAATCATAACTCTTCTGGGATAGGTTACCGGAAGGAACTTTCGCGAAAAGTCGAAAATTCTAGAAGTTATGAAGGTTTATAGCCAACCGCATACCAGTCGAAAATGACCTAACGTCGTAAGAAACTAGTTCCTCTTCACGAGTTTTACGGTTCTTCCTAAACTACGTATTACACTTTTGATATAAACGGTATGCCGGGCATCTTGTGAAGAATAGTCGTTATTGCTGATTGATAATTCTGAGTCATAAATCTTAGCCATTATTATGATAAGAATTAAAATTGCAAACTTGCAGACTTTAGGATTGGTGGACTTAGAAACTTGGAAATTTGGAGGTTTGAGGGTTTTGGGAGTTTGGGGATTTGGGGACTTGGAGATTTGGGGATTTAGGGATTTAGGGATTTAGGGATTTAGAGGGTGTTGGAATATTGGGTTTTGGGGATTTAGGGATTTAGGGGATGTTGGGATATTGGGATTTGGGAATTTTGGGATTTGGGAATTTTGGGATTTGGGAATTTTGGGATTTGGGAATTTTGGGATTTGGGAATTTTGGGATTTGGGGATTTGGGAATTTGGGGATTTGGGGATTTGGCGATTTGGGGATTCGAGTATTTGAGGATATTTTGGGATTTAGGGATTGAGGGATTTAGCAATTTGGGGACTTTGGAATTTGGGGATTTAGGGATTGAGGGATTTAGCAATTTGGGGACTTTGGGATTTACGAATTTAGGGACTGGGGGATTTAGCCATTTGGGGACTTTGGGATTTCGGGATTTGGGGATTAGCAAATTTGAAAATTTTGGGATTTAGGGATTGAAGTATTTTGGGATTTGGTGATTTGGAAATGTAGGGATTTGGTAATATAAGGATTTGTAAATTTAAGGACTTGTATTGTGATTTGCAAATATGGCACTTGGTAACATGGGGATTTGGGAATTTGAGGACTTGGGAGTATAGGGATTTGGAAATATGAAATTTGGCAATATAGGGATTTGGGAATTTTGGGAACTTGGGAGAATTGTAATTTGCAAATATGGTATTTGGTAATATAGGGATTTGAGAATTTAGGGACTTAGGACTATAGGTATTTGGAAGTATGAGAATATTAGGCTTTGTAAATATAAGGATTTGCTAATGGGGATTAGGGGATTTAGTGACTTGGGAATTTAGGAACTTACATGTATAGAAATGTGTAGATTTAGAAATTTAGGAATCTAAAGATTTGAGAATATTTGCATTTACGAATGCATTAATTTAATAATTTCTAAATTTAGGGATTATGAAACTTGAGGATTTGGTGTTTTAATTTCTGAATTTTTATATCTCTAACGTGGAACCTTGAAATTTAATAATTGGATATTTTAAAAAATTAGGTATTGATAAACTTAAAAATCTTGTAACATCCTACTCTTAAAAATAAATATAAAATTTACAAATTGAAAAATTAAAAAACTCTGAAATCCATAAATCCATAAACCGTGATATCTCAAAATCTCTAAACCTTGATATCTCAAAATAAATTTCGAAACATGCAACCCTCTCTAGAGTCACATTTATGTGTCTACATAAAACTTAAACAGAATCGTAATCGAAATCACATAACCAGTTTTCGTCCTCAATTTCGTCCAACGATTTATATCCAGCTTGTCAAACGTACATATAATTTAACACATCGACAGTTTCCGTTCCGGAGGGTATCCATTATCCCGTTTTACGTCCCATTCGTTGTTGCAGGCATTATAATTAACGCGACGAATCGCTGAATAATGAAGTATGACTGACGTAATTAAGGATACTCCTCATTTCGTACTGTCGCTGTAAAAAGAGTTGAAAGTAGTTCAATCTTATCCCTGAAGCTCGTCTCCTTCTTTCTTCCCTTCACCACATTTACCTGTTATTTTGTTCCGTCTTCCTCTATTTCTCGTTCCCCATGGGTTCTTTGGGTCCATAAATAATTCAGGTGCTCAGGACGTCGTAAAGACATTAACGAAGGTAAAAGCTTTTAAGGGCGGTCTAGCTGAGTCCTGAACTCGTTATGCAGCTCTTACGATAATAACTCGCAATCTCTGCAGCCGGTTCATTGTCCAACGATACATGTATTTACGTTCTACTGCGAAACGCGAATCTTTTTCTGGTAATTATCTCTTGTATTTACCTGTTGACTTCGCTTTTTATTTACTGGGAAATTGTTTGAAAAATTTCTACCTTCTTTTATATTTACACAATGTACAACATTTAACAGTGAAGTTTCATTGCAAACTATTATATAAGAATACAAGGAAACAAAAGTATAAACAAAGGAAATAAAATAGGAAGAAATAAGAAGTTTCTGCAATGTCCAGCGAACATTATGGCGGTTAACAGTGAAGTCTTATTGCAAACTGTCATATAAGAATACAAAGAAATAAAATAGGAAGAAATAAGAAGTGTCTTCAATGTTCAGTGAACATTATGGCGGTTAACAGCAAAGTCTTATTGCAAACTGTCATATAAGAATACAAAAAACAAAAGTATAAACAAAAGAAACAAAATGGGAAGAAATAAAATGTTTCTTCAATGTCCAGTGAACATTATGGCGGTTGACAGTACAATTACAAGAAAAATTCTGGGGTGATTTAAATTTATAATGGTGGTATCGTGGTGTGGATGAACATTGAATGATAGAAATAAATTTCTTTAATAAGGGATGTACATAGTCTTCATTGATTATATTCTTCAAAATTACTAGACACTTTATATAGAATTATTTAACTATTTTGTGCTAAGGGAGTATGACTAACCTTGTATTTTTAAGGTTATTCAAAAGTTGTCACAGAAATTTTTGTGGGATAATAATTTTCTTGTGATTTAATTTTGTGTATAAAAATTTGAAGATAAGTTACAAATCATTTTAACAAATATTTTAATTTAAGAATAAAACAAGTCAACTGGATAGCTTGTGTTTGGTTAGGAATATCTTCGTTCTTTCGTATTGGTCATTCAAGGGTTGCAGGATGAAGGTTATTTTATTGTAATTTCTATAGGAACTTTATTATATAAAGTTACAAAGCATTTTATGCTGAAAATGTTTCAATTTAAATATAAAATGAACCAATCGAATGATTTTTAGGTTAGAAATATTATCAACCTTATATTTTTGATGACGTCATTCAAAAGTTATGAGTTGAAGGATTATTTTGATGTATTTTGCTTGCAAGTTTTATAGTGTGACACAATTAATTTTATACTAGCAGCATTTAGACTTAAGAAATCGACAAACCAATTAAAGGTATCAAGTTAGGTTGGAAATACTATTATACATGTATTTTTAAAAAGGTCATTTAAAGTTATAAGTTGAAGGATTATTTTGATGTATTTTGCTTGCAATTTTTATAGTGTGACACAATTAATTTTATACTAATAGCATTTAGACTTTAGAAATCAATAAACCAATTGAATGTATCAAGTTAGGTTAGAAATACTATTAACCTTGCATCTTTAATAGAGTTATTCAAAAGTTATGAGTTGAAGGGTTATTTTGATGTATTTTGCTTGCAAGTTTTATAGTGTGACACAATTAATTTTATACTAATAGCATTTAGACTTTAGAAATCGATAAACCAATTGAAAGTATCAAATTAGGTTAGAAATACTATTAACCTTGCATCTTTAATAGGGTTATTCAAAAGTTATGAGTTGAAGGGTTATTTTGTGATACTTTGTTCGAAAGTACTGTAATGTGAAACCATAATTAATATTATATTAACAACGTTTGATTTAAAAAAAAAATAAATTATTTCAATGTCTTGAGTTAGGTTAGAAATATTGTAAACCTTGTGGTTCTTAAGAGGTTATGTAAAAGTCATAGGCTGAAACATAATTGTTTTCTTACAATTTATTTAAAGATTTAATAATATAATATTACAAAGCATTGTATTTAGTATTATTCGTATTTTTTAAGATCAATTAATCTGTAATACGATTTATGACCTGAGTTTCGATTTACAATTAATATTATGTTTAATTATCATTTTACAGATTCGGATTTACCAACTTTCGCTGACGAAATACAAAATGTGACAGTGAGCCAAGGCCGAGATGCACTTTTAGCTTGTATAGTGGACAATCTGCGAAATTATAAGGTAAGAACAAAATATTCAATGAATTTACATTTACAATTCTAAGAACGTTCATTTTTATTTGTTACAATTACATAACTTTTAAATTTGAATAACTAATTGCATACATATGACAGTATTTCGAATTTAGAATTCTCATTTATTGATCTAAATTAAAAAAAAAATATGTAGTTCAGAAGTTTAGAGTTTGTATCTCGTTTATAAAGTTGAAATGAGTTTTAAATATTCCAATATGGTTCACCTGTCATTTTGGATTTTCCCTAGTAACTGAAGTGAAAGACTGTGATGAAAAATTATAACCTAAATGTTAACAAATAAGTTAATACATGGAAATGTTACCATAATTCCAAAAATAAATAACTGTTCAATTAAAAAATTCCAAAGTATAGTATAACAAAGTGACTAAAATGAAAATATATATTGTACAGATTACTTTATCTATTATTAAAATAAAAAATTACAATTTCCTGCATTATTTAGACTCCTCAAAAATTATTTAATGTAAGACAGAAATTAAGGGTAAAAATTATAATGCTTACTGGAAGCAATGTGTGCAACGAAAGCACTAAACATGAAAGCACTTATTTGAGGTTATATGCAGATATAAAAGAATGAGAAGTACTGCAAAAATTATCTAGAGAGATAGCACGTCCATTTACATACTTCGTTTAATTCATTTTAATTAATCTGTTTAGATGTACCGTAACAAGCTACACTTTGTGATCAGCTTAATTAATAATTTCAAGGGAGGTATTTATTTAATTCGTTAAAATTAACCTACTGTACCAAATGTTACTCCATTAAATTTATAATTTCAAGCGAGATAAATACTTAAATACTGTAATATTATAATACTTAAACTCCTTAAATATTAATTCATTAATTTCAATTTACCTTTCTATTTTTGTGAACTGTAACAATTATTAATACAAAGAATTAACTGACAATAATACTTGAAGTACTAAATAATAGGAGTATAAATATAAATAATAGAATGTAAATAAATATACAATATAAATAATAACAATAATAGGAGTTCTAGAGTATAAAGCAGACTAAAACTAGAGTATAAATTATATAATTATTGCACAAGGGCGCAAAGTACCCCAACGGCGTCCCTGCACAAGACCCATTCAAACGCAGCCAGCGTTTCCCGCCATTTACCAGAAATTTCCGTGAAACTTAGCGTGGCCCAAACAATCGTGCGTTTCTCGGGCAAATAAGTTTCTCGGGCTCCATCATTAAGCAAAGCTTTTTTACGCTCCGCTTACGAATTTAACACGAAGCAGCGTAGCTCGGTAATTCTAGACGCGACTCGCAACAACGTCAACTTCAGCGAGCTACGTCGTTCGTTACGCCAATGGAAATACATCACGGATCGTGTCACGTTGAATTATTAAAGTAATACGGTAACGACGCCGGTTCACACGATCCTTCCACCAGATCCGTTATATATCCACCTTGCACTCCTAACTGCCTACTATTTTCCGACGCTGATATTCTCCAGACGTAGCCATCGCGAACAAAAAGCGTGAACCTAAAGTAAAAATTATACAGGCTGTTTCTTATCGCCGGGGAAACCGAGTGAGCTAATGGCAAGAGAAGGATGATAAATTTGCATAAACGAATATTTGAAATCGTATTATACCTTCTTCCCCTTCCGACACTGCTATTCATTAGCTGCTGTAAAAAGGTCTTGGCGATGGTTATTGTTATTCAAAACAGCTTTCTTTCGTTTGTGCACGGTATGAACAGGGATAATAGAGATGCACGGGAAATTGGAGTGTTGGAGATTTGAGAATTTGACGAGAATTTTTAGGGATTTGGGGATTTGGAGATTTGAGTATGTAGGGGTTTGGGGGGAGGAAAATTTTGGATCTGGAAGTTTGGGATTTGGGGATTTAGGGATTTGGGCATTTGGGGATTCAGAGATCTGAGGATTTAGGGATTTGAGGATTTAGAGGTTTTAGGATATAGAGAATTGAGGATTTAGGGATTTGAGGATTTAGGAATTTGTGGATTTATGGATTTGAGGATTTAGGAATTTGTGGATTTACGGATTTATGGATTTAGCGATTTGTGGGTTTAAGGATTTGTGGACTTAGAGGTTTACGGATTTAGGGATTTGTGGATTTAGAGGTTTGAGGATCTAGGGATTTGAGGATTTAGAGATTTGAGGATTTAAGGATTCGTAGATTTAGGAATGCGTGGATTTAGGGATTCGTGGATTTAGGGATTCGTGGATTTAGGGATTTGTGGATTTAGGGATTCGTGGATTCAAGGATTCGTGGATTTAGGGATTCGTGAATTTCAGGATATGTGGATTTAGAGGTTTGTGCATTTAGGGATTTGAGGATTTAGGGGTTTCAGGATTTATAGATTTGAAGATTCAGTGATTTGAGAATTTAGGGATTTGGCGACTTGGAGATTTGAGGATTTGGGTATTTGAGAATTTATACATTTGGCAATTTAAGAATTTGGAGATTTAGAGATTTGGGAATTTAAAAATCTGGAAATATGGAAATTTGTGAACTTATGGATTTTAGGCAATTGGGGATTTAGTGATCTGAAGATTTAGGAAATTTGAAATCTTCGGCTTTCAAAATTTGGTGTGGACATTGTACAACTTAAGAATTTGGGGATTTAAGTGTTTCTAGGTTTAGGATCCAAGAAATTTTGGATGTGCAAGTTTAGGATTTGGGACTTCAAAATTTGTGGATATAGGAATGTTAGGTGTTGGAAGACTGGTGTATTTGAAAATTTCTGGATGTAGAGTTTGTGAATTAAAAAATTTTGAAATCTGAGAACTTTCTAACCTGCAGTCTTAATATTGTGAATTAGAAATTTGTAATTTAGGGATTTGAAAATCCTTGATTTGATAACTTGAGGATATAGGGATTTGAGTATGGAGGATTACAGAGATGTAGGAATTTTTAGAGTTGTGCATTTAGGGATGTAAGAGTATAAGAATATACCAACTCAAAGATTTATGGATTGTGTAAGTGAACATTATAAAATCTGAAGATTGTAAAAATTTGATAACACTGTAACTTCAAAATTTGTAACTCGTTATTTCACATTTATAGAACATTTCCTCAAATTATCAATTTTTTATTTGAAACTCGTTATTTCACATTTACACAATTTTTACTTCAACCTAACAGTTATTAATTTAAAATTCGTTATTTTACATTTACACAATTTGGATTGCAAAATGATCAGTTATTAATTTAAAATTCGTTATTTTATATTTGCACAATGTTCACTTGAAACTACCAATTATTAATTAAAAATTCGTTATTTTATATTTACACAATGTTTCTCAAACACTATCACTTTCTAACAGCACCATATTGAGCCTATAATAAATTTAAATATGATTCGTGTATTCATAAATCAGCTGAGACATACATATTTGTTCACGAAGAGATCTGTACGACGAAAAGGCGGAAACGGATAGATACTAAGCCTTCTTATACTTACTTTTCTATGCTCCATATCCTGTAAAGGTTTCGGAGATCTGTGGAGGATATGGAGTACAAGCTAGTCGGTACATTGGATTAAGTAAACGATAAGAATGAAGCAATATTATACGTATAGAGTGTTCAAAGCTGTGCGATAGAAAACGGTACGAGCAAATATATCGGAAATATGCATACGAGCAGTTTTAAAGCATGACTGAAGACCGAGAGATCTTATATTTCGCATGTTTTTCGCATTTGCAACTTGTAAAAAATTACTGGCAGTTTTTAGAAACTCAGATGTGAAAGATTTTATGATATACTTATGCTATTGATGGGTAGATCAAATAAGATGATGGATACATATGAGGATAATAATACAATAGACTCTTTATTTTTGACCTATTCAATCACAGCGTCTTTCTTCTCCTTTCGTTATTCACTGTTCAAATCCTACCGTCAATTAAACCAGTAAACGTAGTCGAAATTATACCGTGTTTGGTCTTATTTTAATCGGAAAAATGTCAAGAATTAATTGGTAAAAGTTTCATAACGAAAAAGTCAAGAATAAAAAAGTTTTATATTTGCATTGGTATAGTCTCACGGATATACTGGAACCGCGGATCAAGTTACATTTCTCGGCGCGCGAGCTTCATGGTGTCGCGAGGGGTCTTCCCCCCACTGGTCATTTTTTTGCGCGTATTGCGGGGACCGCGGATCTACTAAGCACCGCGACCGCTAGGTGGCCAGCCGCGAATCGTTTTTCTCGTAATTATAATGGGTTCCCTCGCCTATAATAAGCGACCGCGAGAAAGAGACGACGGCATGTTTCCGATTCACGTATATAGTCTTTACCTATACGTAGAAAGTGGAAGCATGCTGACATTTTTATGTTAGGGGATAGCAAGTTGGTTTCATACCCGCGCCTCTAAGTGTCCCATTTTGAGGAATCTCTATTGATGATTCCATTTATGGAAAGCAGTCCGCTGCTGACCACCGATGATACACGCCATATCCTCCGCCTTGCTTAACACTGCTCACCATGGTGACATCCCGATGGAAGCTTCCACCCAAGACACAATCCCCTGATTGTCCCAGACCCAATAGGTGCACAAACCCCTGAGTGCCCCACACTGAATGTCCCAGATCCTGGAGTGCTCTGACCCATGAACACACCTCATACCCCCAAAATGCCACACACGACTAGGTATCCAAGACCTAGTGGAGTGCCCCATACCCCCAAAATGCCACACCCCACTAGTTGTCCAAGAGTGCCCCTAGTGGAGTGCCCCTTACCCCCAAAACACCACACACTAATTGTCCAAAATCCAGTGGAGTTTTCCAGGACTCCTGAATGCCCCACATCCTTAAATGCCCCACACCACAAATTGACAAATATTATTACATGTATTAAATACTATTGTACATGTATACTATTAATTGCAGATGTTTTGTATCCTGTGAATATAGAAATGTTTAACAATTATTTAAAACCACTTTGAATCTATATTAATATTATTACAAAAGAAAAAGAAAATGAAAAACAACGTGGAAAAAAACTAACTCCATGAGTTGTCTACTCATAGTTAAAAAAAGTGTAAATTAATTGTGAGAATACATTGAACTGACTTTAAATAAGGGTTGGAAACAGTACGGAAACTAATGTTCACCTGTCGTTTCCTGTGAAACAATTTTTAATAACGTAAGTGGTGAAGTGGATAATCAATTGACGAAGATAAATGACTTTTCCTATACAAGTAGATACACAGTGTGTACCTTGAGTTCACTTCCATTAAGTGTTTTCATTTTCTACGATATGCTTTTATATTAACTGGAACGTGTTAAGAACGTGGTGCTCGAGAACGAATTATGACATGACTGAATGAACGTGTCAAAATATTCACTTGTTTTCATTTATTGAAGACTACTTTTTATTGAAGGAGACAGTAATTGTTAGTGATTGGGACACTATAATTTTGGATTATTGTATTTATTGATTTCTTTAGTTACATTGAATTGTATTTTATTAATTTCATAGTATTCTGCAAACATGCATTGCAACCTAACCTAACAATTGCTTTCCAAAATCATAATTGATCATAAACCAAGTAAAAAGTAATCTACCTCAATTATTTAGATAAATTCTTAAACTTCATATACACTTAATAAATATTAAAGTTAAATTTTTTAATTTTATAACAAAATTTTTAAATTCCATTTGTTGTAAGCAACGTCGTCTAACCAAAATAATTTAAAAAGTAATGAATATAAATTTAGAAAATGATGTTAAATTATTCCTGTCTTAAGAATACTACTTACAGTACATAAAATACTACAGTACAAACTTGCTGTTATAAATATACGACATTTCACTAAAAAGTTTTAGTGCTTTTAGTTCAAGGTATTTTGTATACGATTAAAGTTTGTCGACGTGTCTGTTTCAGGTGGCATGGGTACGTGTCGATACACAAACTATCTTGTCGATCCACCATAACGTCATCACACAGAATCCACGGATCTCGTTGTCGTACAACGACCACCGTACATGGTTCCTCCACATAAAGAAGGTAGAGGAAGTGGACCGTGGATGGTACATGTGTCAAGTGAACACTGACCCTATGAGAAGTCGACAAGGTTATTTAGAGGTCGTAGGTAAGTTTATCATCATTGTCATATTCAATTGATATTTCATTTTGATATTAGTATATTGGTATAAGCAACTTCATTTTTAAAACCCTGGATTTAAAAATTATTAAATTTCGCAGATTTGAAATTATTGAGTGCATTCTGAAGTTCTGATGTTTTCAAATTTCTAGATTTGCTTATTTTTGTATTTATAAATTCTGTGGTTCACATATGTGTACATTTTTAAATGCTGCAATCTCAATTTCCCATATTACTAAATTCCTCAATTTCCAAATTTCTGATTCACAAATTGTCAGATTTCTAACTGCTACATTTACAAATTTTAACATTCTCAAATCCCCAAATTTACAAATTCCTCATATTCCTAAGACCACTCATCCCTAAATCCTCACACCCCCAAATTCCTACATTTTCAAATCTCCACATTAATAAGATCACACATGTCCAAATTTTTAGATCCTCAAATCCTTACATTATCAAGTTCCTACATTCTCAAATCTCCACATTCCTAAGATCACATATCCCCAAATTTTTGGATCACCAAATCCTCACATTTCCAAGTTCCTACATTCTCAAATCTCCACATTCCCAAATCCTTTAATTTCCAAATTCTCACATGTGCAAATGCTACATACTCCAATCCTCATGTTGCTAAGACCACTCATCCCTAAATCCTCACATCCCCAAATTCCTGCATTCTCAAATCTCCATATTTCTAAATCCTCACATCCCCAAATTCCTGCATTCTCAAATCTCCACATTCCTAAATCCTCACATCTCCAAATTCCTACATTTCTAAGACCACGCATCCCCAAATCCTCACATCCCAAATTCCTACATTCCTAAGACCACTCATCCCCAAATCCTCACATCCCAATTCTTGCATTCCTAAATCTTCAAATTTCCAAGTACCCACATTTCCATATACTCACATTCATAACTCTCCACATATACACACACATGTACAAATTCTCAAATTCGAAAGTTTCCATATTTCCAAATGCTTCCATATTTCCATTCTCAAATCCCCATATCCCTAGAACCACACGCCCTTAAATCCACAGAGTCCCAAATCACCACATTACCTAACATTCCAATCTTCTAATTCTCACATCTCTAAATCTCCACATTCTGAAACGTCCATATTTTCCAAATCCACATATTCCCATATCATCACATTTCCAAACTAGTATATTGGTTCGGTCAACAAGTTATATTGTTATCAATAAATTATTCGATCCTTATGTCCACATTCGATCCTTGTCTCTTCAGCAAATACACACATGCATTTGTATCTCGAAACACAATTTATTGTATATAATAAATCACAGTACATTATATATAACAAAGCACATTTCGAATTATATATTTCAGTCCAAAGACTGAATTAAAATTATTATTAAAAAACGACAAAACTGTTTTGACCTTGTCTATTGATACTTTGCCACATCACTCACATATGAGTGATATATCTTCCATATGTATCACTTTCATTATTAAGAACTTGTATACCTAATTAAAAATACTTATATTAACTACTTGCAAGTAGTAAATGTAACAAAATATTTTAAACATAATTGTAAAATTTATTGAGAATAATAATCAGTGGCAGACATGTTAATATATCAATGTGATAAACAGTTGCGGTAAAAGCAAACAACCATCAGAGTAAGTGCAACAAAATTTATGGCTTCCATTTATCGTCTATCAAGTACTCATTCATTTTAGGAGTGCAATTAGTAAAATAAGATATATAGCTGCTCGCTTTTTATGAACTGCTTGAGGAACTTTCTTTCAGTTTACGTACTAAGATTAAGTATCTACTTAAACCCTGATGGAAGACATGGTTCTAAATTCGTTATAGTAATCTACGATGGTTATGGTGCAGGTCATTTTGCCTGGACATCTAATTAACAGTAGATTTAAACCCTGTTCGCTTGTTCAAGCAAATTCTCGTCGAGGACAGGTTATCAATAATATCTCCTATCTAAATAGCGTTTCGCTGAGCTGGCAAATAACCAATCTGATGACGTGCACTAAAATCTATGATTCAGCTTGGAGATTGTTGCATAATGTTTTGTACGTATGAAGTAAACGAATATTTTGAATTCTTTGCTGATATTTGCTTTTTAAAGACCGTCATGTTAATAATAAATTTATTTACAAATTAATGTAATTATAAAAATAATGGTGATGTGGGATAAAGATGGTTATAATACAAGCATGGTTTATTATAAAATTTTGCTTTAAATTTAACTAAACGTTAATTAAAAATATAACACTGTTAAAATAAAGACAATTACATTTGAAATTATGTGTTGATGTTCAGTTTAAGCAGCTATTCAAATTATTTAAATAAAATGTTAACAATATTAGAATAAATGAAATTATGTTTGAGATGAAGTGTAACAAAAATATTTGTAGATGTTATTGAGTTAGTTTAAATTTTCGAACGAAATTGAAGGATTATAGAAGGATGTAAGGACACAAAATTGAGGTTATGAAATTACTGTAAAGCAATCTCTAAGTAATTTCGCCCAAGCTAACTATGAACTTAAACCAATTATCACTTGCCACAATTATTATCTTGTCAGGGAAAATTTTAATAATGGAACAGAAGTTTAGAAAGTAAAGACTAAAAAATATGTTTCATTATAAGTAAAAATATGTAATGGTAGCAAGATAGTAGTTGTCTTTTTCAATAATTATAATTTTTTGTTATTTTCATTCTTGAAAAAGATTTTTAGATCTTTTCAAATATTTTCTAAAAATTAAAAATAGACGACCCACTGAACAATTTAAAATTTTATGCTGAAAATTTCTTGTAACATTACTCTTTTTTCAATTGTATACTAATAAATTAAAATATAAAATGTCATCGTGTAACCTTTCTGATTAAATTTTTCTATACCGCATTACAAACAGAAGTAATATAAATGGTAATAAATGTGTAAATACAGCAGCAGTTGTTATTCAATGGAAATTTTAATTTGAATATTATTATCGAAGGACTGTTTGATAAACGGAACTCATTTATCGAGCAAAATTGAAGGATATTTTTATGAACTTTCAACTTTTCTTTATTACAGTGCCACCTTCGATTATCACTAAAGAAACCAGCACGGATATGGTCGTTCGCGAAGGCTCAAACGTGACGTTAATGTGCAAAGCTTCAGGATATCCAGAACCTTATGTTATGTGGCGCAGGGAGGACTCGAGATACATAAACTATAATGGCGTAAACGGTGAGTTTTCATCATTCTGTTTCTACTATTATTATCTTTAGAGAATCTTTTATAGGAACTTTATAGTATCTTTCATAATGTCTTTTAGAATATTTTTAGAGAAACTTTTGTAGTATCATTTATATTATTATTTACTGTATCAGTTATAGCATTTTTTATAGTAACTTTTGTAGTATCTTTTATAGTATATTTTATACTATATTTTCTAGTATCTTTTACAGTATGTTTTATAGTATCATTTATATAATTTTTTGCTGAATCATTTATAATATTTTTTATAGTTACTTTTGTAGTATCTTTTATAGTATATTTTATACTATCCTTTCCAGTATTTTTTACAGTATGTTTTGTAGTATCATTTATATTATTTTTTACACTACCATTTATAGTATTTTTTATAGTAACTTCTGTAGTATTTTTCGTAGTATATTTTATACTATCCTTTCCAGTATTTTTTACAGTATGTTTTGTAGTATCATTTATATTATTTTTGCAGTATTATTTATAGTATCTTTTATAGTAATTTCTACAGTATCTTTTATAGTACATTTAATACTATCCTTTCCAGTACCTTTTACAGTATGATTTGTAGTATTATTTATATTATTTTTTACAATATTATTTATAGTATCTTTTGTAGTAATTTCTACAGTATCTTTTATAGTACATTTAATACTATCCTTTCCAGTATCTTTTACAGTATGTTTTCTAGTATTATTTATATTTTTTTTACAGTATTATTTATAGTATCTTTTGTAGTAATTTCTACAGCATCTTTTATAGTACATTTTACACTATCCTTTCCAGTATGTTTTCTAGTATCATTTATATTATTTTTTACAGTATTATTTATAGTATCTTTTGTAGTAACTTCTATAGTAGCATTTATAGTATATTTTATATTATTTTTTACTGTGTTATTTATAGTATTTTTTATAGTATATTTTATACTATCCTTTCCAGTATATTTCAGAGTACATATATTTATTACAATATCTTTTTACAGTATCTTTTATAGTATCTTTTATAGTATCTTCTACAATATCCTTTATACAATCTTCTATAGTATTAGGACACTACGTATAAGTACATATGTATATGATAGTATCTCCAAATAAAATTCGAATGAATTATTTAAACAAAAAATTACAAATAATTTCAAATAGCAAATCTATAGATACATATATACTTCGAAATTTAAAAGCTTTTAAATGTGCACACATCACACTGTTCAAATCATTGTCAATTATCAGAAATAATCGATACTTCGGTTGTCACGTTACGCTGGTGAAAATATCAACGTCGTTTAAGGAACGAGACCAGTGTTTTAAGGATAGTCGCCTCGATCGATGCTAATTACTTTCTTAATTACTGATTACGGAGAGAGTCAGAAGCACAACATAGGTTCACTTCTGCGTCACGAGTACGTACAGTCAGGACCAGAAACTTCCCTTGGGGAAAATATAAGAAATTGAGGAAAGGATACATAGTGATTTTTGGGGAATTTTGGAGATTCAGAAGTTTGGAAGTTTGGGAAATTTGGAAGATTTGGAAATTGGGAGAGAGAAGTTAAAAATTTGTGGAACTGAGTAACTGAGAAATTGAGTAATTGAGTAATTGAGCAATTGAGTAATTGAGTAATTGAGTGATTGAGTGATTGAGTGATTGAGTGATTGAGTAATTGAGTGATTGAGTAATTGAGTAATTGAGTAATTGAGTAATTGAGTAATTGAGTAATTGAGTAATTGAAAAACTGAATAATTGAAAAACTGAATAATTGAATAACTGAATAACTGAATAACTGAATAACTGAATAACTGAATAACTGAATAATTGAATAAGTGAATAACTGAATAACTGAATAACTGAATAACTGAATAACTGAATAACTGAATAACTGAATAACTGAATAACTGAATAACTGAATAACTGAATAACTGAATAACTGAATAACTGAATAACTGAATAACTGAATTGAAAAATTGAAAAATTGAAAAATTGAAAAATCGAAAAATTGAAAACTTGAAAAATTGAAAACTTGAAACCTTGAAAACTTGAAAACTTGAAAAATTGAAAAATTGAAAAATTGAAAACTTGAAAAATTGAAAAATTCCAAAATTCCAAATTTCCAAAATTGAAGAATTGAAAAATTGTAAAATTGAAACAGTGAAAAATTTTCTAACTAAAAATCCGCTAACTCAGAAATTTAAAAATTAACACGAATTTAAAAATACAGAAATTCGACAATTAAAAAATGTTGAAATTTACATCAATTTACATATATCCGTATCTAAACGAATCCTCCATTATACCCGAGTGTACATAGTCCTTGCGCGGTCGAACACTCACACACATACGTATACACTGACACACAATGCAGTGTGGTAAAGACGTGCTGGCAGATAGTGAGACGTCAGACAGTCTGCTCGGATCCAAAGGATTTTCTCAATATCGGATAAAGGCCGGATTTAATTTCTGCTCTAATTTAAATTTTCATTGCCCTCGAGGCATACTCGGGTTCAGACCCTCACAGGAGGTTTTCGAAGCTTGCCTCGTTCTAACTCTCCGGTATAAACCGTTGCTAATAAATATGTATGTATCGAATCATTGTGAGCTAGAAAAAAATACTCAGCTACATTACCTCATCCTCTGTTCAACGTTTATTACTCATTTTTGGAAACTTCGTTATTTTCTGTCCATTTCTTCTCTAATCGAATATTTAGGTTATGATGCATAAAAATATAACCTAAAATAAATGACATAAATTTAATTTTTCAGACATTTATTTCATTCTTGTTATGTAATTAATTTTGTAATTGGTAGTTTAATGGAGACCTGTAGAAAGAATCTTCTTGTTGTAAAAATAAATTTAATACAGCCATTGTTTTTATATATTATGTTCTCGGAGAATTTGCTGACACATAATGGCGGTCTTTACTTGTAATACAATCGATATTTCAAATGAAATATTTATTGAAGGCTATTGTTTGCAAAGTTAAATTATTATTGTCAGAATTAATATTACTGTCAAAATTAAATTATTGTTGCTAGAATTAATATTATTGTCAGAATTAATGTTATTCTCAGAAATTAGCATTATTTGAATAATAAAAACTTTCATACTTATTTAACATTTTGTAACTTATTTTGAAATTATTTATTAAATGAAAAATTGCTTTGACAATTATTGTTTGTACTGACAGATCAAACAATCAAACGATTATTATTTATAATTCAATAAAGTTCAAATAAAAACTTCATTAGCTATTATTGACGGAGTATTTTAATCACTTTAAATAATTTTACGTTCATAAATTATGGAATTCTTTTAATAAATTATGTAATTTTCACTCTCTTATTTTCAACCAGCCCACACTAGTTTCCTTGCATAATATGGTTATGGTCTTCAATAAATGAGATATCTAGATGCCTCCATTATGGCTCCGTTCCCAATACGGTTCAATCGACGTATTTTCGAAACTTTCCGTAGAATTCGGCAGATAATACCATAAACCAGATCCCCGTTGTCGATAATAAGCGCAGGTGTATAAAGTTTATCTCGAATCGTATAGTATGAACAACCATGAAATTGTCAGTGTAACATCTCATAGCGTTCTCTCAACGCCAATAACATTTCTTAAAAACATTTAAAATATTATTCAATTCATTAAAAAATTTAAAATATTCATCTCGTTGCAAAAATTATTTAAAAGTAATTTATAGACTCTTCATTAAAATTTCAGAAAAAATTCGTGAAATTTTTTGGATGGTGTCAATTAACCTCTTGCATTATGACGCACCGTGTGCGTCAGTCAAAAATAATTAATCGTAGCAGTAGACTTAGCAATTTGGGGATTTGACCATTTGAGGTTTCTTGCAATTTGGGAATTTGGTAATTTGGAAATTTGACCATTTGGACATTTGGGAATTTGGGAATATGACAGTTTGCGGATTTGACAATTTGGAGATTTGACAATTTGAAGATTTGACAATTCGAGGACTTAGCAATTTGGGGATTTGACAGTTCGGGGACTTTGCAGTTTGGGGATTTGAAAATTTGGGAATTTCACAATTTGGAAATTTGACTATTTGGGGATTTAGCAAATTGGGGATTTGACAGTTCGAGGACTTTGCAATTTGGGGATTTGACTATTTGGGGATTTGAAAATTTGGGACTTTCACAATTTGGAAATTTGACTATTTGGGGATTTAGCAAATTGGGGATTTGACAGTTCGGGGACTTTGCAATTTGGGGATTTGACTATTTGGGAATTTGAAAATTGAGAATTTGACAATTTGGGGATTTGGCAATTGGGAAATTTGACAATTTGGACACTTAAAAATTTTGGAATATGAAAATTTGGCGATTTGATAATTTGTAGACTTGGTCATTTGAGAATTGAACAATTTGTGGACTTAGCAATTTGGAAATTCGTCAGTTTGGCGATTTAGTAATTCACTTGGTCATTTGAGGATTTGATCACTTAGGGATTTGATAATTTATAAATCTGGTCACTTGAGAATTTAACAATTTGGGGACTTAGCAATTTGGAAATTCGTCAGTTTGGCGATTTAGTAATTGACCTGGTCATTTGAGGATTTGATCACTTAAGGATTTGATAATTTGTGTACTTGGCCAGTTTGGGATTTTGAGATGTGTAGATTTGAGATTTTCGAATAATAGAACTTATGGATCTACAAATTATATCCTGAAAATATTAAATTTTGTTTTAAGATATACACTAATGTAATTAAATATTAAGGACATCAATACTGCACTACAGTACGTTGTAATTAATCTCCCATAAGATTCAACATTTTACCAACACTTAATGGTCGTTTCCTGAACGCGGACAGCGACAATTTGTTACCTCGTTCCTAACATTACTCTTCCAATTCGAGATTCCTAAGCTCCCTTTTGTTTTCGCTTTTTTGTTTCTTGCGCGTTCTAGTGTTCTATCAGCTTTCCGGACGATCGATTGGCACCATAAACCTACATC